TGGATTCCCTGGGTTCCTAGCTTTCGTTTGATATGCATTAAGCCATAGTTGAAATATTTTCTATTTGTGGAGGTCATTAGAGGTCATTAGAGGTCATTAGAGGTCATTAAAGTTCAATTTGATTTCATTATAGGAATTTCGAACCCTAATTAGGCGTGCATCCAAAAAATTGGAAGATTTGAACCAAAAATGAAGGCAGGGCCCCCCCCCCCTACATCAAATGTGCCAACTCCACCATCCCCTTTAATTATTCTTAATTTTGCATTATGCTGAATCTAAAGGGTGTCCCACGAAACATGACAGTAGCAAGACGAATTGAAAGTCGTCTTTCAACTTTGAATTTATTGGTGACTTTCAGGGTCAAATCCACACAGGCGCTGAAAGTATTTAAATTTCAATATGATAAAGGATATGTGCACTGAGTCTATATCTAATATAGTAAAGGATATGTGTACTGAGTCTATATCTAATATAGTAAAGGATATGTGAACTGAGTCTTTATCATATATAATAAATGATATGTGCACTGAGTCTATATCCAATATAATAAAGGATATGTGCACTGAGTCTATATCTAATATAATAAAGGATATGTCACTGCGTCTATATCCAGTATAATAAAGGATATGTGCACTGAGTCTATATCCAATATAATAAAGGATATGTGCACTGAGTCTATGTCCAATATAATAAAGGATATGTACACTGAGTCTATAGCAAAAATAATAAAGGATATGTGCACTGAGTCTATATCCAATATTATAAAGGATATGTGCACTGAGTCTATATCCAATATAATAAAGGATATGTGCACTGAGTGTATATCCAATATAATAAAGGATATGTGCACTGAGTCAATATATTACAATATTATAAAGGATATGTACACTGAGTGCAGTTAAAATTCAATATTATATAGGATATATGTGCTAAGTGTAAATAAATTCCAATTTCATGAAGGATTGTGCGCTGACTGTTTATTTATTCCAAAACGATGAAGGATATGTGCACTGAGTCTATATATTTTTCAATATTTTAAAGGATATGCGCACTCAGTCTATAAATATTCCAATATTATAAAGGATATGTGCGCAGAATGTATATATATTCCAATATTATAAAGGATATGTGTGCGGAATGTATATATATTCCAATATTATAAAGGATATGTGTGCGGAATGTATATATATTCCAATATTATAAAGGATATGTGCGCTGAGTCTATTTATTCCAATATTATAAAGGATATGTATGCGGAATGTATATATATATATATGACAATATAATAATGGATATGTGTGCGGAATGTATAATGTATATATATATTCCAATATTATAAAGGATATGTGTGCGGAATGTGGAGCAGATCTAAGAAATGAGGATACAAGAGAACCTATGGCTGCCAGTGTAAGTATATATTAAATACCATCTCAAATAATAAATGAATTAAGTGCTGCCCTTAATTATGTCCTAGCTTTTTTAAAACACAGGTCTTACAGCTAGGGGGGGGGGGAGTCATTGCATCTTCAATCTGGGCCAAATATTTATCAGGATCTTTGCATTTTACACTTTTTCATTATTTCAGACGTTTGCATTTTCATTACATATATTTGTTGATAAAAATGATAATAATAATAATTGATAAAATAATGATAATGTTGATAATGTTGATAATGTTGATAATGTTGATAATGATGATAATGTTGATAATGTTGATAATGTTGATAATGTTGATAATGATGATAATGTTGATAATGTTGGTAATGTTGATAATGATGATAATGATGATAATGTTGATAATGATGATAATGTTGATAATGTTGATAATGTTGATAATGTTGATAATGTTGATAATGATGATAATGTTGATAATGTTGATAATGTTGATAATGTTGATAATGTTGATAATGTTGATAATGTTGATAATGCTGATATATTCCTCTAGGTATCTATGGTGCACTCAATACCTGAATTAAAGGTGTCTAACTCTGAGGCAGCAAGTCTAGGTCTGGAGGATCAGAAAAGGTAAACAACAGTTAGAGGTTGTCAATGATTTTTAAATTGTCTGATATATTGATTAATTGTCTAATAGATTTACTTATTGTCAGTGATCAACAGTTTGATAAATCGAATATTTAATAAATTTTTTGACAGAATGAATTATTTATCAACTCTCTAGATATATAGATTTACAGACTGGTCAATTGATAGATTAATTGTCTGATTTATTGTTAAATTGTCTGATTTATTGATTAAGTGTCTGATTGACTGATTAATGGTCTGATGATTGATTAACTGTCTGATTGACTGTTTAATTGTCTGTTTGATTGTTAAATTTTCTGAATGAAATTAATTGTCTTGATTGTTTGATTTATTGATTGATTTATTATCTGATTTATTAATTGCCTGATTGATTGCTTGCTTGATTGATTGATTAATTAATTGATTGACTGATTAAGGTTGTTAAAGTCACGTAAACTGGTTCTTCTGGTAGACCTGGATCAGACCCTGATCCACACAACCAACGATAATATTCCTCCAAATATAAAAGATGTTTATCACTTCCAACTCTACGGTTCAAGATCACCCTGGTATCATACTAGGTATTCATTAAAAGATAATATTCTTAAAATAGAAACTATATGAACAATTTAAATTAAATATATTTGCTACTTTATACTACACTAGCTGAAAAAATCCAATTTATTGGGGAAAAAATTCAATTTTTAAAAAGTTTGAATTATTTATCCTCTGTTACCATGAGTTTCCTCCATGAAATGTCATTCAATTTGTTTGCTTGGTTAGCTTTAGCTAATATACATTAAAATATACAAATGATAAGTATATATATATACGAGCAAAGAGCTAAATTATGTATAATTTAATTTTTTCATTGAAAATTATTTAAAATCCCTGACTATGACAAAAATCATGAAATGTCTATCCAAATGTACCTTATATTTGGGCCGGAAATTTGGAAGCAAAATTAGCTTTTTCTCTGGCCAAAGCTATCTTTGAAAAGTAAAACTAATACTTATGAAATCCTAATTGGATATCTTTCTAAACAAGTGAATTATATTAAATGCGCGTTCGCTAAATTACGTGCTTTTTCTCATCTTTTTTAATAATGATTTTAATTGTTTTATATTTTATTTTGAATATTATTTTCTCTTCCTGGGAAAGTGTGGGCTGTATTTTTGTTACTTAACCACAAAAAGTTTTTAATTTTCACAAATACATAGAACATTCTGGAATCACTTAATAATTTCTAATTATACATTTTTCAGAATACGACCTCGGACCAAAGAGTTTCTGTCGAATATCTCTCATCTTTACGAGTTTCATATTTGCACGTTCGGAGCTCGCCTGTACGCGCACACTATAGCTGCATACTTAGGTAAACGGCTTGTTGCATAGAAATGGACGTTACGCGTTAACTTAAGTGATCATCCATGCAAAGATGGCAATGCCAGATTTGCAACGGTACCTTTTAAACCCTTATCAATAATGTGGAAGATGTTATTGTTTATCTAGGTTTAAAGGTGTTAAATTCTGATTATTACCATATACACTACAGTTTAAATGAACAGCAAGTCATTTTATAGAGAAACCACAATTGAAAATAATTATTAATCAGTTTTCAAAATTATAAGTATGTCTGTCTAATTCATACTTGATCAGACAAAGTTTTTAAGTTGTGCACCGGGCATTGTCATCTTAACATTGAATATCTCTTAAAAATTACGTTTACAGTCCCTTAATAAGATCTTATTGTTAAATATTTATCTGTTTACATTGTTTTTTATCTGAAATGAAGCAGGGGGGGGGGGGGGGAAGCCATATTTGGTGCACCACTGGGGCTTTGGGACAAAAATTATAAATTTTTCATCTTAAGGCAATATTTTTGATCATTGACACATAGGTTAAAAAATGCAGCAAATGCAATCCTCAAAAACAAGCCCAACTTCTAGAGGGGAAAAACTTATTTTCAAAAAGAGGTGGGAATAAACGATTTCTCAAGAAAATATGACACAATGAAAATTACCCCTGAATTGTCATGTTCATTCAACCACCAATTATGCTATTACATCCCAAACACAAAATTTTACCAATAAGGTTTATATTTTTTTTTTTATCTTTTTCTTGTTCTACCATCTCCTTTTTGCTTCAAAAATATTTTTCCCAAATGCATTCAGATTTTTTCCCCAATCTTCAAAATAAAATGTTAAAATAGTTTTGTGAAAATAACGTTTTGTAGACTGCAAATATGTCAGCTCTGTTCCCCTGTGGGGACAGTATGGTCTGTATCATTGATGACAGGTTTGTGAGATTTTATTCTGTCGTTGATCATCAATTTTTTATGAGATTGTTAATAAGATCGTTTTTGAGATCGTACATTAGATCGTTCATCAGATCGTGCATGAGGTCTTTAATTAGATCGTTTATTAACTCCACAGTCCACATGGATGGTTGAAACAACCACCCCCCCCCCCATCCTTCTTGTTGCGTTGCATTGCTTTATTTTTTGGTCACCGGATTTAAAAGATATTGGTTGCTTCTTTACTTGAAGAGACATTGATTGTATTAGGGAGGATGTATAAAATTTTGCTCCTAACCTAGTTTATTTACACCATATCCTAGTCCTATATATTGTTTATATTAGGGAGGATGTATGGAACTTTCCTCCTAACCTGGTTTATGTAAACCATATCCTAGTTCTATATATTGTTTATATTAGAGAGAATGTATGAAATTTTGCTCCTAATCTGGTTTATGTTAAACCATATCCTAGTCCTATATATTTTTTATATTAGGGAGGATGTATGGAACTTTGCTCCTAACCTGGTTCATGTTAAACCATATCATTTCTTCCAACACACTGGAGATATCAACGCCCCACCTGGACTCTCTAAAAAGGTGAAATGCAATACTTTATGCAATCTAATTGTGTAAGCCTTGACATTTCAAACTTTGAATAAGTAACAGAAATAAATTAAGGGGGGGGGAGGCAAATTTGCACAACAAATTTTTTTGTCCCCCACCTAGAAGCTTCTAGGGGGGGGGGAGGGGGCTAAATTTGAACTGTAAATTTAAAATCTCTGATTTTAAAGGTACACAATACATGTTGAATACCCAGACTACCATCAGAACTAGCAAAAAAAAACATGCTTCTAAAAAATAAACATTTTATTATATTGTTATGTTAGAATTACTAGAGATAGTAAAAGACATTTTTGAAAATGGAAAACTTAGCTTAAACTTGAATTCTATAAGAGGAAAAAATTATATAAAAAACTGAGTACAATTGTAATCTATATAATAAAGCTCTTCATTCATTTACATGTGTGATAGCTCTGAGTTTTAGGGGGGATTACGCCCCCTTTACAGGTCTAAGGGGTACTGCCGCCCCTGCCCCCCTGTATACGCCCTTGATAAATGATCTAGAAAAGTTCATAGTTAGTGATATCATAGATCCATGACATCAGGTTACATAGATATAAGGATAATAAGATTAGAGTAGGAGAAAAGTAATAAGTTTCACCACATGATGTGGAATTCATGTATTTTTCGGGGGGGGGGGGGGGTATAATATATCAAATGAAAGCTGAGAGATAATGAAGCAATTTAAATAAATAGGTGAAGTGAATATTGGTTGACAGATCCTTGCCATTATTGCTTACCCTTTATTCTCCAATAAACCCCATTATGACTTTAGTCAGAGTACTGCAGTTTGCAGTGCACTGAAAGCTTAGTTAGGTTGCCTTATCCTTTTAGTGTGAAACTCTGATCCCTGTGATTTGCTGTTTAATTAAATGCAAATGGAATTTCCAAATTCTAAAAAATCTACTCTGATTTTCTGTTTAATCCTATTCTATTGTTAAAGTAAAGAGCCTTTTAGACGTGTACTTTCTAATATTTTTATTTTTTCATATTTTTCAGGAGAATGATGAGAAAGAGGGGATTGATTTTAACAAGTTAGAGACCAAGAAAAAGGTTTGTTTGTGTTTTCGTTAAATGATTTGATGAGCAACATTTGTTCCTTCTTTTAAAACCCATTAGTGACGAGAAGGTCAATTTTGACCGGGTGAGGTTTTATTTTAAAGTACCTTTATTCTTAAACTAAATGTCGTCCTGTCTTTTCCTGCACTTTCCTTAGGATTCCCTGTTTTCAAAACTTGTTTTATATTTGATGTAACTTAATATTTTTATTTTTATTTTCAATTTTAAAAAACCCAAAAATACAAGATTTTGAATTCGGAAGAAAACCAAAAAACCCCGTGTAATTTAGTTTTGAATCTATAAAATTGTCAATTTTTTTGCTAGAAAAAATCTTAAGACATTTTTGGAAACTTCTGTTAAAGATCTAAATAACTAAAACACGAAAAGTAAAATTTGGAAGATAATTAAATAATTATGAATTACCAAAGTTTTTTAGATTTTCATGTTTCACAGGTCACCCTGTACAAAAAAAATTTTTAATTTAATTTTATATCGTTTTTTCATTTGTACAATCAAGTTTTGTTATGGCCAGATCCTTCTAAAACAACTTTACTAATAGTTAATGGTCTCGTCACTAATGGGTTAATGTTTGTTTTATAATACAACTCCCGCCGTTTACCCGCACTTTGTCGATTTTACCTGGAATTAAAGTATTTGCTGTTTAAATCGATCCACTCAACTTATTCTCTAACGAAGCCAAGAATATTACCATGGTTCTCCCAAGTTCCCCAAACAAAACTTTAAGTAAATCGGTCAAGGGGATGATGTGGTTATTGTATATTGTATAAACTGGTAACATCTAATTCTGAGTTTAATCCCCTCCCCCTCCTCATAGTTGTTGGCAACCACGCGTAACTTTCTATTTATTTTGTAAAATTATGCGAGGTTATTAAAATATATTAAGGGGTGTGGGTTCCAATCTAATTTTTAGCACTTCTGACCTTAAAAAATTAATTGTCTAGAACTGTTTGCCGAAGACTAAAGAGACTGTTCCTGATAAAGATGAAGATTCAAGCAGTGAAGACGACCCAACAGAGGAAGTAAGTTTAAACTTTGTATTTTGAGAACTAATTAATATCAGCAGTTAACGGGGTATGGCGAAAATTGTAGTAATACTTTAGACATTATTCTATAGGGCCCTCAAACAACTCCATTTGGAACAATTAGAACAATTGAAATATATTAACATCAACACAGTTGCTGTCTGACCTTGAGAGAGTCAGGTTCTCCTCTACAGCTGCCTAGTGTCTGCGCAGCCGGGGAGCCCTGACTGGAATAAAACATGGGTAACACAATCTAAAATTCCGCACAAGTTGGAAACACTCTAAAACCAGAGGAAAGTAGGGATCTTCTATGGGAGTCGCTCGATACTCTCCCTTCCTGACCTACTCCACTTCCAACTTCTCCATCTCAACCCTACCTATTTGTCGCAAACAGCATTTGGAATTGATTTCTGTAGACAGATGTTGTGGGCACAATTTTTAAGACCACCATGCGAAACTGATAAACTTATTAATTAATAAACTCTTACTTTAATAGTTTGGTTGAATAGGTCTTCAGTGCAGGCCTAGAACTTTGATACAACTCAAAAGTACAAAATAAAGGAACAATTGTCTAAACCCCTACCCACCCACTTCCCTGCCTGCACTTTCAAGCCGATCAACTTTCTAGCTGACACATTCCTGGTTATGGCAACACAGAACACTAGTAAACACAATTACATTTGAGTAGAGTGAGTATTCAAAAAATGCTGGTTTCGACAAAATTGTTTTTTTTAAATTATTAGAATCGGGGACGGTCAACAGAAGAAAAAGAAATAAATGAAAAAGGAGAGAAACAATGACAAGAAGAAAAACCTGAAATTACGAGATAAGCCGGCGCTCAATTGTAATCGATTTTTTTGCGGTTCAGCAATGCGGTTTAGATTCGTTAAATTCGGCCTCTTGGAAAAACTTTCTTTTTCAATATCTCTTAGCACGCGCGGTACCCGTAAGGCTTTGTAAGAATAAATGATATTTCCATGTTTTTTTCTTTGAAAATTGAATTTAAATTTTTTTTGATAAACGTTACTTGCTGTATAATGCGGATGTCTGCCACAGAAACAATGGATGATCTAGTCAGAATTAAACACTTGAAGCTAGAAAAACAACGATTTATCCCCATGATTGATTATATTAAGGTTTCAGGGGTAACATTTTGGGAATATCCTGTTTTAATGGGCGTTCACTTAAAATCGCAGATTTAAGACACCTTTTGTCTAAAAATGCCCCTTTAAATGAACAAATCAGAGATAACAGAGACCTTTTGTCTAAAGATATTTTTTTTAGAAGACTGATGTGCGCCGTGAGAGTATTGATATGCCTATGCTTGATGAATCTTCCAATCATGCCACTACAAATGGAACTGTGACTAAGAAAAGCAAAGACGGAGAACAGAACAAAGACGGAGAACAGAGCAAAGATGGAGAACAGAACAAAGACGGAGAACAGAACAAAGACGGAGAACAGAGCAAAGACGGAGATAAGAGCAAAGACGTAGCCGTGAGCAAAGACAGAGAAAAGAGCAATGATGTAGCAGAGAGCAAAGACGTAGAAAAGAGTAAAGACGATAAAAGCCTGGAAGAAAACACAGACGTAGAGAAGAGTAAGAAAGATAATTCTGTCGAGGTCAGCATTTTAAATATTTTCTGTAATCTCTGATTTTTAAAATATTTTAAATTTAAAAGTAACCAATTTTTTTTGAACATTTGCCCGATATTGATGTCATTAAAGGTTATGAATTGATCGAAAATAATTCTTAGGTATTTAAAAAAGCCTCTGAAAACAAGAACATTATGAACGTTTAGGATAATAAAATGTCTGTTATGCAACTTTTGACCAAAATAAAATGGTGGTTTTGATTGATTGATTCATTCATTCATTCAATGATACTTTGATACTTTGATTCATAAATTCATTGATTCATTGATTTGATTCATTGATTCATTGGTTCATTGATTCATTGATTCATTGATTCATTGGTTCATTGGTTCATTGGTTCATTGGTTCATTGATTCATTGATTCATTGATTCATTGATTCATTGATTCATTGATTCATCCTTTCATTGGTTCATTGATTCATTGATTCATTGATTCATTGATTCATTGATTCATTGATTCATTGATTCATTGGTTCATTGGTTCATTGGTTCATTGATTCATTGATTCATTGATTCATTGATTCAGTGATTCATTGATCTAGGAGGTTAATCATGATCTTGAGATGAGTGACAGTGAAGATAGCAAGGACAGTATGGGTAAACAGGTCAATATTATTATGATATCTTATGGAATTTCAAGAATTGTATGCTGATTTCTGGACTAACTTCCCATAACAAATCGATCGGTATTAACAAGAAAATTCATCCATTAAGTTACATCTGGAATTTTATGTAATAAATCATCCAGAATTCGGTTTTACTAAATATTTTTTATATGAGATTGAGTACAAAATGTCTGATGAAGAAGAAGATTCATCAAAGGATTTACTCGACATTGAGGTATTTAGTATGTTCTTTGAGGTTCAAATATTCTTGATATTCCCCCTTCTTAAAATAATAATTATATGGGAAACGATTTAAAGTTGGTGTCCTTGTTATTAATAAGGGCCAGGGCACTCTTAAGCTTAGCGTCTGATCAAAAATGAATCAGATATCCACTTTTTTATGAAATGTCCATGATTTCTATGTTTAAAAATGGTCATTTTCAATTGTGAAAGTGAATTGCAGATGTCATACCAAATAAAAAAAGTAGAAAATTGTGAGAATAGAAATAATGTTTAAGGTTAAAAAACAACGACGTCTTCCACATTATTGATCAAATAAAAGTTTAAAGTTTCTTTATAAATCAGACAATCCAAAGCTTGAAATTAAGTACACTTGTGACGCATGTTTAGCCCATTTATGAATAACAAATTGACAATGTTAATTTTGAAACATCGCTCTGAAAGTGGTCATTTTTAATCTTCTCCAAGTTAGTGGATTTTTCGCATTTTTTGTCTGGGCAAAATTGCTCAATCTCGACGATCCGTAAACCTTCCATGGGGGTCATATGAGTTGCCATAAAAATTTGGACCCGATCGGTTCAGCCGTTATGATGTTATTTGGTTACAAACAAACAGACTGAGAAATAAAGTATGACAATTGATTAAATGATTGTGTAAACAAGTAATTTGATAAATTATCCGACATTTATCCTTGAATATTTTTTATTGGTTTGGAAGAAACTAATTATCTTTTTTTCTTTTCTTAATAAAATCCTTTGTTTGACGTAATTTGATCTTTTTTTATTGTTTTTAATGCTCTGAGGAAAACGGAATAATTGGACATTAAAGGCAAGATTTTAATCCTTTCTGAAACTGTTATCCAAAAGTTTATTTATTTTCCTCTGAAAAAAATGAATATTGTCCCCAAGTTAACATACAAAAACAAAAAAAGTCTTAGGGTAAATTATTATCAATTTTAATGTTGTTTAGGACCCTGATGACTATCTTCATTATCTGGAAGATATCCTCAAAACTTGCCACAAGGTGAGCTGAGCTAAACATTTTGTGTTCTGACTTGATCTCCATCATATGAAAACCATGTTCTATTAGTTTAATTCCTCTGAGATATTCCGTGTTGGTCAATGGGCATGGTTAACTTTAATTGGGAGATTAAGCATGTAAACTTAAATTTAGATATTTATATATAAGATAAATAATACTCCACCAGGGTTGGAAAAAAACCGTGTTTTTTTCCACAAAAACCAGCCCAGTGGGTTTTATTTTATTTTTTTTTTGTGGGTTTTTCTTTTGGGCTGGGTTTTTTCATGCCAACCCAGTACTCCACACAATTGTTTAAATCTGTAATGTTTTTTTTATTTTTTTTTTTCTTCATTTTTTATTAATGTTTATAATTAATTGTCCGTTTTCCGCCTTATTTCTAAATATTTCTTAACAACCCCTTTTTAAAGAAAATTTATTTAATTTATTTAATATAACTGAATGTTTACTGAATTACAAAGTCAATTTATTATTATGAAAATAAAAAAGTTACGATAAAAAGATTGTGAAAAGTGAAAAGACCTTTTGTTAAAAACGATACTGATAAGCCTATTATGAATAATTTTGATAATGATACTGATAGGCCTACTATGACCTGTACGACCAGATGCCTGGTGAAAGTGAAGTACCTGACCTTAAAACTGTTATTCCATATGTCAAGCGGAAAGTTCTCCAGGTAGATACAGTGAGAACCAAAAAACTGTAGATTATCTGTCATCTTTGTCATCTAGTAGTTTGTCAAATCTCTTTCACAAAATTCTCAGTAATTAAAAGTAAAAGAGGTCTACGAGATGTCCACTCGTTTATGGTTTTCATTGCTTAAAAAACTGTTTTAAACTTAGTGTGTATAGGGTTACACACATAGGATGAGACGATCCCGAGTTTAAATTAAGTCTTCTACTTTGAGTAAATTCTTTTCATATTTTATTTTAGTATGCAAAAAAAGAAATAAGTTTACAGTTGCAGGGAATCATAAAAATGAATCGTCTCTGAAGTCTCATCCTTTTGTGGGTAACCCTGTAATAACTTTTTAAAAGTTTAAATTTCCCAAGACTGACTAAAATATGGTTTTAAACCAAATTCCAGACAATTATTGCAAACTTTATATTTAAAGGGAATGTCCCTGGTTTTCTCTGGCATAGTTCCAACACAAGTACCTTTAGAGAAATCCAAACCATTCCTGCTCGCTAAATCATTAGGTAAATATCTAAATTAAATTTAAAGCAGGGGCGTACGCAGGTATTTGTCTAGGAGGAGGATTTTTTTTCATTTCTAGGTGGGGGCGGAGGCCTCAGCTCCCGTTGGGGCCTGAAAACCCCCTAAGAATCATAGATTTTACTGAACTAGAGGAACCCTCTGTGAACACCTCGGGTTTAAAGTTCATGAATTTTTAAACACAAGGAGTTAAGTTTGTTCGTGAAGTAAAAAGTTATTCTCAATTTTATTAATTCAAACCTTTTTTCACAGTTTCGTGAAAACATTTACCGCTGAAAGTTGTGCAAATCTCAAACCCTCCCAAACTAGTTTTATACAACTTTGTACAGTACAGTTAGTCTCTTTAACCTTGTAATACAGGAGCTAGCGTGTACCCAAACCTAAACAGTAAAACAACTCACCTGGTGGCAGCTAGGCTGGGAACTGCTAAGGTACAGTAGAATTTTTTTTCAAATTTTTATTTACGTTCGACGCTTCGGGCCCCTTTTCTAGGAACAATTTTTGCTGTGAAACGTTGCTCGTCAAGCTGACATTTTTCTATGTATGTACATCGTATTTTGCGGATTTTTATGTCCAAATTTGCGAATTTTTTAAGATAAAAATGTCGACATTATTTTCCAGGCTTAATTTTTTAACCCATCCATAAACCTTCTCTGGGGTCATGTGGGTTGTCACAAAACATTCCGGCTGTATTGGTTCATCCCTTTTGACGTTTATTGGATACAGACACCAAGATTTTTCCGTGGATTGGGGGNCTGGGGTAGTATTAAATTAAATAAAGTAGTTATAGTGATTATCTATTTTTTACCTTTATTTTTTTCTATTTTTTCGTTTTGCCTAAAAATAGAACTTATTTTAATTATTTAGCATAAATGAATAGGTTTATGATACGCGTTGAACAAAAGTTTTTTTAAATGGTGCGTGAATTAAAGACTGTTATCCGTTATTTTAACAATTCTAGTCTGCTATAAAGGAATAGTTACAACATTTAGACTGGGGGTTGACAAAATAAATATGTGTTGCATTAAAAAAAAATCATTAAAGTCATCTTTTTGACCTAAATGCTATGCATCTCAAAGCAAATCATTCTTCTTTAACATTTTGAATGATCGCCATTATTCAAATCCGACTCATGCATGGTTTATATCAAGCTTTTTTATTACAATTTTAAACAAAGAGAAGCGGTTCATTGACAGCGTTTCTTTGTTTCCATGTTTTCGTTCATCCATGCTGCTTAAAACCTTGGTAGAAATCAAAAGTCGTCTTCATTGTTTTGTTATATACGATGACGACTGAATAAACATGTTTTTTCAATGAATTTTGTTTAGATAAATGATGCAAAGAAGAAGGGTGATGTATGTATTGTAACCCCGGACTGGCTTTGGGCATGCGCAGAACGATGGGAGAGAGTGGACGAGAGATTATTTCCTCTTGGTAATTTTCTCCCTCATTTTAATAGATTTTATGTTTCATAACTTCAATATTCATCTAGACCAAAACTATAGTTCTACGTTCTAAATATTTGTTTCAATCCTCTACTATCCTTAAATAAGGATTAGTTTCTCTCTGGAATCATAAGTTAAAGTGCTACACATCTAGAATTATCTAGATTTAGAAATAACCCCCCCCCCCCCCCCCCATCAACCATAATAACACATCATTTGAAGCCGTATTTTAAGAATATCTGTTAAAAAGCTCTTAAGATTGTTTTAAGATGTATTTAACATTAATATAGGGAGCACACTATCTCCCAACTTAAAACTACTAATATCTGGAGAAATAATAATTTTAAACTGAAGGGGTGGGTTGGGGGGGGGGGTTAAGATTTTTTATTAAAATATATACCCCTCTTGCTCTTTTTAAAATGTAAAAGCTTTCTTAATTTTATTTCAAGGGATTTCCATTGCATGTCTGATTCACAACTGGTAAACCCTTTAAACTTTTGTTTGATCGATTATATAGAAGATGTCCTCGTTTTTTCTCTTTTAAAAGTGTATATACTATACATCTGGCGATTTCTTTTATCGGTTCTGAAGCAGGAAGCGCAACTAGCAAAATAGCAACTAAAATTTAAATAAAATTTTAAAGAGATGACAATAGAAGTTTCATGTATTTTTGATCATAAACCGTTGTAAGTTAAACTCAAAGTTATATCTCTAAGAATGACGTCAGGTCTGGCAGGTGAAACATATGAGGAAAGATTGATTTAGGTTGGTTTGACCTCTCTAGAGGCCAGACCACTTCGTGGTGATTTGATACAGACCTGGAAAATTCTACATGGATATGATAATGTTGATGAATCTTCTTGGTTCAGCAGAACATGCGAGACAGCGAATATACTGACAAGACAATCCAATTGTAGTTTTAATTTAAATGTAAAGCAATTCAATTCTAACATGAGAAAAAACTCTTTTTATGTGAGAGTGATAAACCCATGGAACAGTTTGCCAGACTATATTAAAGAGTCTAAAACCTTAAATATTTTTAAGAACAGTTACGATGATCATGTGAAAAATGTCGAGCATATATAGTGAAAAATGTCAAGTTTAAGAATCGCTTTTTATTACCAAAAATGGTATCTAAGCGAAACCAGAACAATATAACAATAATATATCTACACTCTACAGTTTATGAAAGATAAATAAAAAATGGTTAAATGAAAAGTTGTACCTGCATGATTCTGCGATACAAGGTACAAGTCTGCCTCCTCCCTCCTATGGCCTCACGGATCGCGTTGACCGCTGGGGGCCGGGAGTACTGATCTTGTTCGTTGATTGTTGGATTGTCCTTGAGTAATAACTAGCTGAATTGCCCGTCGTTACCCGTGGAAATATAAAAACATTATTTTTATTCGAGTTTTGAAGAAAATAATTTAGTTTTGAAAGAAAAAAAATGTTATTTTTGAATGGTTTTAATTCTTCTAATGCCTTCTACGAAAGTAGAACCTAAGTATTTCAAAAAATTCGGGTTTTTAGCCTATGTTAACCCTAGCTATAGCTTACATATACATATGAGCGAAGAGCTTTATTATACAGATAATAATTTCAAGTTGTATTTTAGGTAAGAGCAGTAATGTGACGCGGCAACCTCCAGCTCACTGCTCAAGTCCTGAGATTGCTTTTTCGGAGAGATGCAAGGATATAGACTTGGAAAATCCAGGTAACAGATACATAGACTAGATGCGAGATTCTAGAAGATGTCATTGCTAGATTCTTGATTCAACAGATTTAAATGAAAGGTCCGCTAGAATCTAGAAGACTTCATGATAGATGCTAGATTCTAGAAGATTTTAATGAGAAATGCCAGATTCCAGCAGATTTCATGATAGATGCTAGATTATAGAAGATTTTAATGATATAAGATGCTAGATTCTAAATATTTCAATGATAGACTGCAGTGATAGATGCTATATTAAATAAAATTTCAACGATAGATGCTAAATGCTAGATTCCAGCAGATTGTAATGCTAGATATTAGATCTAGGAGATTTCAATACTGGTGGCACACTGCGAGCCAATATATGTGAGTTTTGTGCGCTACAGTTAAGACGACATTAAAAGGCATAATTTATCTCAAATTTCCATCCCAAAGACCGAATCGATGTATGACAACTTCAAGATACATTTGGAAAGTTAAGCAGAATGAGCGTCACTCATGGACAGCATTTTCTTAAAGATTTAAACTTTAGCTTTAATTTTAATTTTAATGGGTCTATGTACATTGTACACTGGATAATTGTTGTTTTAAGTTCAATGACTTATATAAATCATTACTTGACTCTAACAGTTGACTTCTTAATCTATAGTTTTATAGGATTCACTGCACAGTCTCAGCTGTTTTATAGGTACAATAGAATTAATCTAAGGTTTGTCTAGTATTCCAAATAATAACTTGAGTCTAACAGTTGACTTCTAAATCTACAGTTTTATTGGATTCACTGCACAGTCTCAGCTGTTTTATAGGTACAATAGAATTAATCTAAGGTTTGTCTAGTATTCTAAATCATTACTTGAGTCCAACAGTTGACTTCATAATCTACAGTTGTATAGGATCCCACTGCACAGTCTAAGCTGTTTTATAGGTACAATAGAATTAATTTAAGGTTTGTCTAGTATTCCAACGGTTGCCGAGTGTATCAGAAACTGTCTCTGATCCCTTCCTGGCGTTTTCTACCGAGGATATTGAAGGAATGGATCGGGAAGTCGAGGATATTCTTTCAGGAGAATCTGACTCAGAAAAGGTAGGTCATAGATGGAAATTTATGAATGGCACGATTGAACTAGCTGCATTTGGTTCAACTACTTAACCACTACGATGAGAAACAAAAGGGGATGGTGGAGTTGGCACATTTGATGTAGGGGGGGGGGCCCTGCCTTCATTTTTGGTTCAAATCTTCCAATTTTTTGGGTGCACGCCTAATTAGTGATCGAAATTCATAAAATAAAATCAAATTGAATTTTAATGACCTCTAATGACCTCTAATGACCTCTAATGACCTCCACAAATCATGCATGGTTTACA